TTCGAAAAAAAAATTTGTCAATTTTTAAGTTTTTTATTTTCAGTATTAAAAAATAAAAAATGTATTCTAAAAACGTAGCGCAAGTGTCTATGGATTATATTTAAAAGAAATTTTTAAAAAATATTGATTAKAACAAAAGTTATTTCATTTGTCAGAATGTCAAATCTCTTTGGGACACCCTGTATATGCATATATGAGTAGTGCATAGGAACATGTACACAAGAACAGGAACATAAGTATATAGTATTCAAAAATGAAATTAAAAATAGTCTACTAGTAAAAAATGTTAAAAGTTCAGTAATAAGGGAGGGAGGATTAAATCAGGATTAGTATATACCTACTTGTGATTGAATATAAAAAAAAATTACTAATATAATATGGTGTAAAATGTTAAATATCCAAGGGATGATGTATAAAACCTAACCTAACCCGGTGATTATTATGCAACATACGAGTATATCCAAAAGTCCCTAAATATCTTTGTAAAACCATAGTACTTACATCAATATGTTTAATTATATTTTTTAACAAAATTATAATTKATTGATTTGTAACAGTTTGTAAGTTGTAACTGAGATCTTCAGAATCTTTTAGAACATTATGTGTTCCTACCTACAAAAAAATTATATTGCATTACTRCATAAACACTGTCTTGTGACGTGCGGTTTATTGCGGTTTGTTAATATAATGTTTATATTTATAAACAATTCAAAGATATTTATATATACCTAATACTATTGCCTTTTYGAGTACAATATTATGTTGGTAAAACTATTTGAATAATTCGATATTTTCTGTATTGATGTATCATAAACTCTTAGATAGTCAAAGAGGTTCTCAGTCAGTGCAGGAGCTATATGAAGAGCGGCTAAAGAGCTGAAGTCCCCCTCCTCACAGGTATATCAAACTTATTATACCAGTAGTATCAGTAGTACTCTAGTAACCTAACCTCACCAACGAAAATAGTCCAACAATAAAATATTGTAGCCCCTTCCCACCTCCCGAAAAAAGTAGCCCCTCAAAAAAAATATTGGCTAAGGTACAGTGCTCAGTCATTTTAGATGTAGGTGTATAAAATATAAACATTTTTAAACTAAGTGGGTACGAAAGTATAATTCCAGGGCTATTTAAACTCCTTATTTCTTCCGTTATTTCTTTATTCATGTGTGTTTTACACATCATTATTTTCATAATCAATATGAATGTTTCTTATTTTATAGCCCAACGTTTTTATCTATTAGGCGTATTAAAAAACTTTCTAATTGTGTTTTAAAAATATTTTTGAAATTCTGCGTAAAACAGTCTAGTTATAATACAACGATATTATGKAGATATATTAATATGCAATATCTACGTAAGTTTTCAACTTTATAATAAATTAAAAGTTAGTCAGAATTCAGAAAATATCAAATTATTATTGATGACTATAGGGGTTAGGTGTAAGACTTAAAAGATTATAAGAAAAATTAAAAAGCTGATTTCAAAGAAGTATAAGCTATCCACGTAAAATATTAGGTAACTAAATTTTTAAAAGTTAAATTCCAATATAATTATATTGGACGTTTACCTGCAAGGTATACCTACTACCTAGATGGTGAAATATAGGTGCATAATGTATACCTATTTATAATTTATATTTTATATTTATAAATATTTATAAATATATTTATATTTATAACCATCTACGTTTTATATATAATTATAAAATGAATTTGAAAAATCTTACCTGTCACAACGAAAAATTGGAAACTTCGTTTTGAGTTTGACCATGCAGCCATCGTGAGTGAAAAAATCATGGAAAAATTCAGGGAAATCGATACAAAAAATATTGAGATATGCACACGAAAAAAATATAAACTAAACTGCGGCTGTCGGAAAACTTCTATCCATTGCACATGATACGAAATCAATTACGTTGTAAGTTTCATTTTGAGAGAGAAGAGAACTAAATTCGTTGGATAAGTAAAAAGGAAAAATCCCCCAAAAAAAAAAGGCAAACCGTTTTCACCGAGAGGGCACACTGGCACGCGGCGCGTTCAGACGAAAACTGAACGTGCTCAAATCTCTGGTAGCCCGCGCGCGCGGTATTTGGCGCCGGTTTAGTACGCACGCGGTAGTGTTTGGACGACTGGTGATTGGTGAATGCAGTCGGTAACCAAAAGATAACAGACAACCACGCTACGTGTGATAACGCGTTCGTTGTTGTTGATGTGCAGCTGCTGGTATCACAATTTAAGACACCAGCTGGTTGCTGGTATCGACATAATAAATAATAATATCATCGTAATCATAGAATAGAGATTAATTCCTTGTTGTAAAGTGTAAACATCATCATTAATAATAAAATATTATATTATTATGTTTGTGGTGTTATTAAATTTAGTTTATCATGTAATGTCCTGAATGTAAATTTTACTATTACTAGTAATTCTTGTCATTATTAGTGAAATTGAAGGATTATTTTTTGAAGCAGATAAGGATCGAAGACGCTCACGTCATTATGGATGGCCAATTGAYAGATTTATTGTTCCCAGACGGAATACCAGGTAATTTTTAGGGTTATTGATCAATGTAATGATAATTAGGTTGATATAAGTATTAGGTATAAGATATGAAGTTAGCTGTCATTATCCTGCAGTTAAGACCTRAGAATATATACCTAATCAAGGTTTCATCGAAATATTCTATAATGTTCCATGTTCCTAATTTTCTAGATAATGTCACTACCGGTTATTAACATTCTTTACCAAATTTCAATTTTCTTAGTAACTAATAATTTCTATTTTCAGTTTCCTATTAAATAGTATTATATTTAATGATACAGTGCATTAATATTGTGCTTATACATTGAAATAACTCTAGTTAAAATCTTTAGGGTTCTCTAAATATGTAACACTTGCTATTATTTAGTAGCCTTATTTTTTATTTTTGTACAGCCTCAATATTAAGCAAGTGATAAAATAAAAATTAATCAATTCACTCGAAAACAAAACCCACAGCCCAACCAACTCATAAACTTATTYATAATATTTAATATACCTACTKAACGCATTATTTATGCAATTGATTATATTTCCTACTTGATGTTAACTATAAATTTATATTTTACATTTTTTTAGATGATATAAAAACTGATCCAAACATTAAAAATTATTTAGATCATCTTGGAAAATGCACAGCAGAAGAATTAAGTATGTTTACATGAAATATGTTTCATTTTAATTTACGATTAAAATTGTATATTTTTTAGGTAAGGAACATAAGTCATTAGAAGATAAAAATGCCATCATTGTTAAAATGGTTAAAGATTTAGCATTAAATAACTACAAAACATTTGTTAAAACTTCACATTGTTATGAGTCTGTGTATAATAAATTTGATGATACACAACAGAAAACTATCACATTAGATAATTATTTATTAAAACTTAAAACCGAATGTCAAGAAATGTTAACACAGTGGGCAGATGTTAAAGAAAAACGACATCGTAATACTTTAGCTATGGCTTGGAACTCCCGTATCATGCATCATGCTCTTGAACTTCCACAGCTAATGCTATCCTGTATACAAAATAAATTGTATGAAGATGCTCTAAAACTGGCAAATCATGCTAAACATTTACCCAATAATATACCAGCTGTCAAGGTTAAYGCCATAATAAATAATGTAATGATATATTTTAATAATTTTTTATTTAATATTAGTTGTTACATGACGAAGTGGAAAAGCATCGTATGACCTTGATGTCAGCACTTTGCCAAGAATTGAGAACAGATTTAGAATTACCTTTGTGTATGCGTATTGTACGACTATTAAGAACATTAAATCTAATAAATGAAGAACAGTTGGCTGTTAAGTTTTTACAGACTAGAAATGCATGGTTTAACGCTAAATTGAAAAATATTCCTGATGAGAGTAGTAAGTTTATGTTTTATTTTGTGTTAACATGTTAAAAAAAAGACAGCAATATTTTGTGTTAATAGATAGCCAACACCTATTGGAAACTATTGAGGTATCACGATCTTGTCTTTCAAGTATAGCTACACAATATAACTTGATTTTTTGTTCTGAGTATAACTCCTCTAATACTGAATCATCAAAACTACAATTCTATTATTCTTGGACTAATCAAAAGGTTTTTAAACAGTATAAAAAATGGTTTATGTAATATTTTGTAATTTATTTCATTAAAAAATTATACATATATATATTTTAGGTATGTCAATTTATCGATATACTTAAAAAAGACCTTCCAAACTGTCAACCATCATCATTAGAAACAATTTTCACACAATGTATGTACTTTGGACAATCATTGGGACATATTGGGGCTGATTTCAGAGGTCTGATAGCACCTGTATTTATCAATGTTACTGTGAAAAGATTTTCAGAATTATTGAAAATTACAGAAATTAATTGGCTATCAGATTTACAAACATTTTTAAAAACGAATATTAAAAATGTTAGAATGAATCAAACTCATGATGAAGTAAGACGATTGATGCTAATATATTTCTAACAAATATTTAAATGTGAATTTTATTAGGTAGATGATATACCATCACCTGTATTTGAATATTATCCTTTGGCAAAATTTTGTAATGGTGTAATGAGTGCTCTGAATGACCTAGGAGAGTATGCTCCATATGCAGCTGCTGATGAAATCACTAAATGTTTGCATACCACATTGCATAATGCGTCCTGTGGATTATTCTCTATGTACTATCAAGACGATTTTAAAAACTATGATGAAGTAAGGATTGTTAATTATATTATTATTATTAACTGTAAATTAAATTACGAATTAAATGCCTATTTTTGAGTAAGTATAATATTCATATTATCAAAGCTTAATTAACATTTCCCTTTCTCTGTTTCTAACGTTTATATAAATCAAAAGATCTTTTTCAGGGARTTTTAAAGTGTAATTATTTAAAAATTTGTTTGTCTTAAATTCTTAACCAATATAGCTCAATAAACTTATAATAAATATTTATGATGGATTAAATTGTGCTATTTTTTCACAAAGTTTTCTTGTCAAAGTAAATTAAGTTTTTACACACGATTTGTGTTAAATCATGCATGCCATATCTTTTTAAATATTTGGTGATTTTGATTTTACGTTGAAAATAAATATTAAATTGAATAATAAATAATATTAACTTGATAAAAGTCTTAATAGAATCATAATTTATAGGGTGACAAAAAAATATTTGGACAACTTTGCATTTGCTTTTCTACTGATGTTGTGCCATATGTACAAAGATGTTTACACAAAGTGTATGAACCAGCTAGTATAGCTGCTTTCATTGGAGTGACTATAACATCACTCCAAAAAGAGGTAATTTGTATTATATAATACAACTGTTAATGTAATAATTCAGCTAAATATCTTAAGTTTAGTTGTGTAGGTAGTTTAAATATCTCAATTATTAAAAATTCAAGATAAAAATGTGACTGTCATAACCACAAAACCAAAAAAGCAAATGTTCAAAACAGCCTAGGTATATTAATTTAACACATTGATCGCTGGTGGTCATCTGTAATTCTCAAATTTTATATATATATATATGTGTGTGTGTGTGTGTGTGTGTGTCATGTGACAACCTGCACCCATAGTTAATCATTACTATCACGCCACATGACAACCTGCGAATGTAAAATTATTTTATAATTAATACGGTATGGTTTTATATTATTAACTTTTCCATGACACTACAATAATGCACTACAAAAATGTGATGGCTTTATGAAAGTCATTAAAAAAATTTTACTGTTGTCATGAAAATATTTTTTGAAATTTTTTTTTTCAAATATAATGGTAAATATGAATTCAGATTTGAATATGCTTGACTTGTTAATAAGTAATAATTCATATTGAGTACCGCCGGTGGTCACATGGCAGACAACGTGTTAAAATAATTATTATTACTATATGCGTAATGCGTATATATAATATACAATTCACAAAAATCTATTAAACATATTTACTTAATATATTTATTTACATATTGTAATTATCTTTGAAAAAATTATTAGTTCTTGGAAAATATATAATATCATAACAATTTCACACATTCAAAGGAAACATTGGATCTCTTCATCATTTTCCAAACTCTTTCTTAACCAAGTGTAATTGTGTGAATATAGATGGAGCACTCTTAAATGTACTATCAAAAAACCAATGTTCAGATTCAATAT